TAAGTAATTCACGACGGGTAACACAGTACCTTTGTTGGACTGGTGAAAGGCAACTGCTGGCATAGATCAGAACTCTCTCCTCCCCCCACTGGACTTGAGACAGGACAGCCCCAATACTGTTGTTCGAGGCATCTGTATCCAGAATGAACTTGCCTTCATCATGGGGATACCCCAACATTGGCACTGTGGTCAGTTTCCTTTTGAGTTTGGTTAAAGCAGCTTGGTGCTCGTCAGTCCATAGGGACACTGCTCCTTTCTTGAGGAGAGCATGAAGAGGGTTTGCCGGCTCAGAAAGCCTGGGACAAACTTTCGATAATAGTTATAGAGTCCCAGAAATGCCTGTAACCCCTGTGAGTTATTGGGAGTTTTCCACTGCTGTACATCCTTGATATGAGCTGGATTTGGTTTGATTCCTTTTCCACTCACAATGTGACCTAAGAAGAGAACTTCTTCCTGCAGCAGATGACATTTTGATAGTTTTAGCTTTAATCCGTAGCTTTGAAATCGCTGAAAAACCTGCTCAAGCCGATCCAAGCTTTGGTCTACTCCATTTCCGATAACAATGACATCATCCAAGTAGATGAGCAGGGTTTCCCACTGGAGGCCCCCGAGGACGAGCTCCATTGCTCTCTGAAAAGTACTTGGAACATTACAGAGTCCAAATGGCATTTGGGTGTACTCATTTAGGCCCCATCTGGAGATTAATGCAGTTTTTTCACGGTCTTTGCAGTCAGTCTACTGCAATCTGCCAATAACCAGACTGAAGGTCGAGGGTAGAGAACATGGTAGGACCATCAACAACATCAAGACACTCTTCAACCTGGGGTAGTGGATAGGCATCTTTGATTGTTAGATTGATAAGGCAGCTATAATCCACACACCACCTTACTCCTCTGTCCTTTTTGCGCACTAGAACCACTGGAGATGCCCACTCAGATGGTGTGATTACCCTTTCCGACAGCATAGCTTTAAGGTGTGCCTCCTCTTCACCCTGAAACCCGAGAGGAGTCCTTCTCACGGGTTGACTCACAGGCCTGGCAGATCCAGTGTCAATCTTATGTGTAACAGCAGACAAGTAGCCAAGGTCAGTGTCACTTTTGGCAAAGATGGATTGGTAAGTGAGGAGTAGCTGAATGAACCGTTGTTGTTGTTCCTCACTGAGAGTCTCACTTGTTGCAGCCACCAAATCTTGGAGGTGCTCGGGAACGTCAAAGATTGTTGCTACTCTTCCCACTACCAATGGTGGTGCTCTCTCGTTGGTACAGCTAGGCATTGTGCTTGGGTATGGTGGATGTGGGGGTTCAGGATAAGCTTCAATGAGGAGTCTGAGGCACACTCCTCTCGCTAGGGCCACCCTCTTAGTTGACAAATTGCACACCCTTATTGGCACCTTATGCTTTATGTAAACAACACTTACAGAGGTTACATTTTCTGTGACGTTAACGGGCTCCAGCAACCCCTGATTTTGGGTCCTCCACTTTTCCCCACACAACACATTAAGATATGGCTGGTATGATGGTAGTTTCATCCAGAGTCACTCTAGCCACACAGTAGTCTGCTCCATCATCTTGCATGATTTTTGAGGGCACCAGTTCATCTCCAATGAAAACCTTGCCTTGGGTATAGATGACAACATTATGAGCTTTCATTGGATCCAATCCAAGAAGAACAGAGTCTCTTATGGGAGCTACATGCACTTCCCAGTCGATAGACTTGGAGTCAGTCTGAAAAGTCATTATCAGTCCATGTTTAGCGTTCATGCCCTCTCCAACTCCTGTGTTAAGTAGGTAAGTCTGTAGGGGCTGTGTTGCCCTTCATGATGCTCTGATGCAGCTCTTCTGATATTACAGTTGTCTGAGCACCAGTATCTACTATGGCCTGTGTTGGAATGCCATTTCTAATCAGAGGAATCTGTAGGCTCTCACTCCTCTTTCTGGTGCAGCCAATCTGCCCGTCTTGGAGTTGGGGATCTGGGTTTGTAGTCCCATCTGACTTCAGTGTATAGTCCACATACCTGTCACCATGGTTTCTGGCAGTCGTGGGACTGGGTGCTCTTACACAGTCTCTCCTAAAATGTCCTGTTTCTCCACATCTATAACATGGATTGGCTGCTCCACGATTTGGACTCGGAGTCTGAGAGCGCTCTCTGCTGGGCAGTGTCGGCTGATAAATCTGTTTTCTTTCTGAGATAGAGCTTTGGGTTGGGCTGAGGATTTGGGTTCCTATGTTTGACGGCTGTATTTTTTTGCAACCTGCAGCTGTAGGTTTCCCACTGTGTTAACAAGGGTCTTTCCTTGTTCAGCTGGTGCAGCAAACTGATCGGCCGTAACATACTGGGGAGCCTGGATCCTACGGGATATTGTTGCAGCATCCTCACATGTGTCCTCCTCATCAGCCCATGAAATGCGCCTTGCCCGGTTCTTCATTTCTGTGTCCCTGCCCCCAGTAGCTCTGAAGTTATGCTCATGAGCCTCTGCAAACATTTGGGCTTCCACGAGGGAGCTTGGGTTACAGTTCATGACTTCATAGGCCACTTTCTGGTTTCTTAAACCCTTCAAAAAAGCATTCGTTGCCAGTTGGTCTTGTAGTTGGAGATCTACCCCTGGGTATGCAAGTGAGACAAGTCATCTCACCTCCTCTGCAAACTCAGCTGAGGTCTCCTGTCCTTGTCAAAGTTCTCCCACCCTCCTCCTTATTGTGGTTGGGGGGGGGGGGGTGTCTTTGTTTCCAAAGCGTTGAGTGAGTTTCTCCACCAGGAGAACATAATCTTCCTTTATCCGCTCTGGTAGTGAGCAGACGTACCGCACTGCAGCTCCCCTTAAACACTCATGCAGCCTGTCCACTCGTTCAACAGCACTCTATCCATGTTTCCTGGCTTGGCATTCAAACGGCATCAGAAAAGAATCCCAGTCCTCATTGTCATCAAATGTGGCTAATTTAGGTCTCTGGGGCTATGACCAATTGTTATAATAAGCTCCAGTATTATTTTGCCTTCTTTCATCCTGATAGGTATGCGTGCGTTGGACCTTTGGTTCACTGCTACTAGGCTCTCTGCATCCGGTGTCATATCCAAGGTTTGTAGCTCGTCTCGCTGGACCTGAGGTTCGAGTTCTTTGATGAATGACCTCCAGTTCAGCTGAAAAGGGAACACTATCCCAAGCTTTTGTCACATTAGGAGGGGCATTCCAGGTGCATGCCTTTCACTGTTGGAGTGCACTGAGACTTGTTCCTCTTCTTGTCATACAGCTGGTTGTCCTGTTATGTGTGAAAGGACAGGGGCCAGCATTGTTTGAAAGTGTCTCGTTTGTTGATTTAGATTTTCCAGCACAGCTTGCAACCACTTCAGGGCTGTTTCTGCCTCTGCAGATCCTGCGGTAGCTCCTTGTAGTTCTTCCGTCATTTTTGGCCACTTCCGGTTGTGCTTTTATTTTGAAAGGACGAGACCGGAAATATTGAGCGGCTACGCTGCAGCAGCTTTACTGTCGTTTTAGCGCAATCTCTTTTCCCGCTCTCTTATTTTTATCCACAGTTTTAGCTTATATCTTTAACTTGCAATTACTTCAGGAGTCCTCCAGGTATAGTCTTTTGCTTGGAATTACTCACAGAAGTCTTTTAGAAGATCCCACTTCTGACACCATTTGCCGTGCTTCCGTTTCCTGGCGTGTTGGAGATGTGTGTGGGTGAGTAGATACATGACAATTCGGGATCTCAATCACAAAGTTTACTTCTTCCAGCAACAGGGTAAGTTACAGTTTCATCTTTGTTGTTGTTTTATCTGGCACTCTGTTGCTTTCAGTCTCTGACTCTGGCACAGAAAGCGTTTATAGGTGTCCATGCGACAAGCAGCGGGGCCGAGACAACAGTACAACAGGAACTAACAACAAAAAAACACATTCTCATGATAAACTTATCTAGCTGCTGTGTTGCATTCACTGACCTACCAAAACTCGGTCCAAAACACCAAACCTGTTCATAGACTGATGGGGAGCTTAACTGCCTGTTAGGTATTTTTAATTGTTCATCTTTGTTGTGAAATCTTTTCCTTTGTGAAATGTTGTTAGGAAAAACCCTTACTTGTTTACTGTGTATGTTTCAGCACCTCCTTTCTGCTTTAGGCATATTGTTCTGTTATTTGAGGCCAAACCAGCCAAACCAGGGAGTTTCTGCCAGACCAAGAAATTTGTAGATCTAGTATCTGAAGAATTCCTTTGTCTTGTGCATTCTAAGACCAAAGAGTTTTCCATTACTTAAAAGCAAACTGGTCAGGTTGGTGTTTTTTATGTCATGCTGCATTCAATGTAATTGGAAAAAGGAGCTTCAAGCGCTTAACCTCGGATTTTGTGTTCTTTCTGGCCTTAGTGCGGGGGACGGATCGGGGTCGATCTGAATCTCGGGGGGACAGATCCCCCCGTCCCCCACCCTATCTGCACGCCTGCGAGTAGGCAACAATTTTTTTCCAAGCTTTATTCAAACCTGCGTCCCATGTAGCAATATCAGGCATCCATCTTAACTTATCTTCTCCTTCTCCTCTCCTGTACTGCTCCCTAGTGGTAGATGCAACCTCCTGTGGCTTCTGTTTCCAGGATCAGTGTGGAATAGGTAGGTGATTACAGAAATCTCAACGTGCAAATTAATAAAAACAGGAATGAGCTTCGAACACTAATGCACTTACAAAAGGGGTCAGAGTTGTCTGAATTATCTCAGAGAAGTCAGGTCTTAAAATCTGTGTAAAGCAGCTCATAACGTTTTATGAGTTTGTGGTGCCCGGTGTGATTCTGTGGCTCGCTAGCGGACTAAGGGTGTTGGACAACAACGGCCTGAACTGACTCACACACTAGTAATGCTGTTGGAGTGAAACAAGACTGTCTCTGAGTGAAATGAGGACGCTCTGCATAAAAAAGAAACAAATTCCTCCCTGAATCTGAAAGACAGCTGAGCATACATAAAAAAACTAAACACATTTAGCTAAATTCACCATCTTTTACAGTTCCTTTTCTTACCTTTGGCTGGAGATGTTGGTAAGTGTGGTTGGTTGATTTGCAGCAGCGTAGTTACTTGTGGGGAAGGTTGTTTCTGTCTCTTCGGCTGCCTGCTGCATCGCTGACCCATTACTTGGCTGTAGAAGGAAGACAAGGAACCAAACTGAGAATAACGGTAACTCTACTGAGTCAAGTTTTCAGGACTTTGATGATGAGGACAGCTTACACTGACAATGTTCAAATCTTGAAGAGGCACGTTAGAAGTTGAGTGTGCTACAGCAGAACCTTTCGGGTTTGAGCAAGTCCCAGTACTGGTGTTGTTCTTTCTCTTGTTTTTCTTGCTCTGCCTCAAGCGATCATGAAGTTTCTTCCTCTGCTTTCTGTTTGTAAAGAGAAATAAAATGAGGTTATAAACAGAGCCTGCTCACACCGCAACCACACAATCAGAGTTTAGACAATCCAGAACCAGTCAAATGTCACACCTACTCATCAGTTCACCTTGTTTTTGATTAATTACTTGTGCCTTACTTTTCTTTTTGCCAGCATTAATTTGTTTCTTTGGTGAAAATATAGAAATATTAGATGCTACAGAGTCTAGCTTTTACACAGTAATCTAAGTATTCTTAAAATCAAAGTAGAAGTTTCATATAAATTATAAAAAAAAATTAAATTCAACAAAAGGACTACTAAAATAAAAATTTAATCTAAAATGTTTCTTTTGTAGCACTGCCTCAATTTGTCTTTGTTTTGTTGTTAATTTGAGGGTCTGGAACACTGGTCATTGACTTCAATAACTTTGTAATAGTCTTCTTTTTCCAGTCAGCTTTAGGGAATCCAGTTTGTTTACTTTAGGTCTCTGTTTCTGATGATGTAATAGAAGATGGAAGCAACAAAAATTGCAGGTTTGAGCAGTTTTCTCTGTACCTCCTCCTCCTCTGAAGTTGGGCTTTTGGGCAAGTTTGTGAGAACCTACTGTAGGCTGCAGTCCTGCATGACTGAGGGTACATTCTCCTAGTAGCCTCTCCTAACCGACACCTCTCTGTGAGGTTATCAGAGAGAATTTGTGGAGGAGCCCTTACTGCTTTCTTTGTCCCGATAAAAATGAGATTATTAAAGTAGCTAACATTTTCCACTCAAGAAACCTCACAGGGCTAAGAAAGAATCTCATCTACTTCATTTAGTGGACAATTAACAAATCTAATAAAATTTTAAAGGTGCAATATGTAAGAATGCCACCCTGTGGTTACTGCAGTCCTGTTTTTCGAGCAAAAAATGTCTTTCTCACACCTGTTCAGTGAATTTCATGGATGTTGTTGCCAGTTACGAATCAGCACCAGAATATTTTAGTTGACAAGCAAAGACAGGTCATAAGTAGTAAGTTGATAAGTAGTAAAATATATTGTCATATCTGGTGTTAGCACTCATGTTTTATGATAGGGAGCGCTTACTACATTTATCACGGTACTATTTCTCAAACATTACAGGACGTGTGGTTGTTTGCCATCTTGCTCTTATAGTTCTGAACGACTTTAAAGGAAGTAAAACGTCATGTTTGACTCATTATTCACTTCACTCATACATTTCACTGTAATATTGAGTTGTTGGTAAAAGAAGCTTAGGATATTTTTAGAGCAGACTATTTACTTCTAATTCCCAGTTAGCATTGTTAGCTCAACATTAGCCTTTAGCCTTTACTCTGCCAGTTTTACTCTAATGCCAGCTTTACCTAGCATTAGAGTAAAACAAAAAAGAAGCAGCGGCTTCTTAGGGGTACAAGAAACAACTTCTGGGTTGCTCTTGTTTACTGGCTGTGATTCTTTAAACAACTCTGGAGCTTTTTGCCTGCCAATGTCGAATTACAAATACCTGCAGTGCTGCATTAGCTCACTGCAGATTTGACAATATACCATACATTCCTCAGTGATTATCAAAGGAAAAAGATTTCCTCCTTGTTTTTGTCTGATTTATTCCAGTCAACCAACAGAAATATTCACACTTCAGCAGAGATGTGGTCTCATTAATAACGTATCTTTGAATTGAATTATAGGCAGATGCCTAAAAGCTAAATCTGCTCCTGCATGAACACATGAAGACAGGAACACCAAGGATGCTGCTGGGATAGCACCATTCAAGAATGAGATGAAAATAAATTTATTAAGAAGATTAATTGATTAACTCGAATATTAAAAATGGTATAAAAATTTTTAAATAGGATAAAAAGGAAAGCACATTTTGCTCCCTATTATTTTTCTAATTTCCGATTTTAATCAAAATGAAGAAAAAACTCACATCAGTAAGTGTGACCACATTTTGACTGGCACTCCACACAGAAACATGTTTATATCTAAGCTCATGCAGTATTAGTATTATTTTGTTCAGGGAGCCTACGTCTCCTCCATTTCCGATCGGCTCATGGATCCCCGGAAGAACAAAAAAATTAATGCAAGTCAACGGGGCTAAAAGAGTTATTTTCTAATCCGCTTTGCCTTAGACCCTGGATCGCACATATGTTGTACTTATATTGAAATAAAAAGTAATGGTGTGTGTTTCGACCAAGCCAGTCACGTACTTTGAGATTTATCAGCTTGTAAAAGTTAGTAATAAGCTTGACTACAAACCAGACATTGGCACATGACATATATGACGCCACCACAGAATATCCTCTCCTCTAGCTGGTCAGATTTATGGCTGTTCTTTCCTCCTGGAGAAAGAATTTCAAGTTCGCTGAATTTTCAGCCATTTTCGCTCAGTTTTTCTCCATGTCTGATTCGATGGAGTCACTTTCGTGATGCTCATTTGTAGCCCTGGACTCATTTTCACACAAAACCTAAAATAGCGTTTCCCCCGTTCGTAAATAAGCAAGTTCTTAGTATCAACATGTGTCTTTAATATTCACGGACATCACATGTGAAATCCATGGCACATAATAACAAGCAGGATTAGAAAATAGCAAGTTTAGCCCCATTGACTTGCATTAATTGTTTCGTTCTTCTGGGGACCCGTGGTGCGGAAGTAGGTGGACGTGACTTAGGCTCCCCATTACAACACTGAAATGATGACACGGAGTCCTGTTTGCAGCTCAAAATCCTCAGACCTCAGTCAGCTGATTTAATTTACAAATAAATCTTGTTTCTATTGATCAACAATGTCTACATAATATTCAATTTTTTAGGACGTGCCTGCAGATACTTTGGAAGACATTCAGTCCCTTCCCTGTTTTGTTTTGTATCACAACAATCAAAATTCCATAATGCAAATAAAAATTCTGATTAGCTGAGGACCAAGTTACTGATGTGAAACACTGTAAGCCCATTTAAATGCTGCAGGAGTTTTTCATAACACTTTCAGTGCCGACTAGTGAGATGTGAGGACTCAGGTGCAGTATTTAGCATCAGTGAATTTAAAAAAGAATGTTAGTTACTTTGTTTTGCAGTAGGCAACCACGCACATGATCCCAACCACTAGGAGTGCTATGCAGATTCCTGATATAGTTAAAATGCGTTTCTGATACAACTCCTCAGCTTCTGAAAGAGAGGACAATCAGATTTTAAAGTGAAGATCCAGGACACACATTAACAAACCTATTGAAGGCCTAAATCCAAACAATAAGAACAAATCTATAAAAACGTGTTTGCATTTAATGACAAAAACACTTTGTTAATATGTCTGGAACTAGACAGACAGGGTTTGTTTATGTGCTAAACATCCTAGATGTCTCACATTTGTCCCATAAAATAAAAGATAGATATTTGCGCTCTATCCAAACAGTTACTAGAGCTTGGATGGCGCTGTGCGGGATCAGGGAGGACTGAAACGTGAAGCTGAGGGACTGCAGGTAAGTTGTATAATGTTGTTGTGTTGTTTTATATTAACATAACTATCTTGTGCCAGTAAGAAAATACACTTTTCTTATTTAAAGCCAGTGATTTCACACAACATGCTTGTTTGTCCGGAACTGGGTCAACCCAACCAGTTCAGCCTCACTGAGATACTTTTGCATTCCTTGATGTTTTTAAATTTAAGTTTCTCCCCAACAGGAAAACAAACAACAAAAACATTAAATTCACATATGAATGAAGTCACATGTGAAATAACACATGAGCCAGGTGAAGCATATGACTTGCACATGTTTCCCATTTGAATGTAACAAAAGAAGAACATGGATCTCTTGTGAAACATGAACTAGTCCTGTTAATGTTTCTCCTGTCAATCTGAAATATTTCCATCCATTTTCTGAACCCGCTTGTCAATGTAGGGTCGTGGGGGTGGGGGGTGTGGGGATGGGGTGGGGTGGGGGACTACCCACTGTAGTCAGGACCATCAAGCTGCTTGGAGATGGTCTTCTAGACAGTATAATGAAAAACACTGTAGGCCATTTAAATTAATCTGATAAAAATAGCAAGTAAACAAATAATTTTTTACCCAAATCTACTAAAGGAAAAGTTAAAAATAACTCATTAAATATTTACTCTGACTAAAATCAACATGCTTTTTTCAACCGAAGCAGGAGTTTTACAGTAACGACCCAAGGGACATAATAAGATAATTATTTAGAATTCTGATTAAAGTTAATTCTTGTGGAAACATTTACATAATTTTTGCTCACAGAGAAAAAAAAGTTAGAATTTCCTGAAGTATGACTTTTTAAAGAGTGCTAATAAAGTATTTTATCCAGATTTGTACTGTGAAGTGATAATCAACTATGGAAACTGCAAAAATGTTTTTGTAAAGAATTTAGCTGGACCAGTATTCTCCAACAGCATGGTAAATGTAGTGGGTGTAATTTCGTCTGATCGGTGTATTTCTGAACATTGAATGAGAACCCTCTTTGTTGTCACTGACGGATCTATCTAAAGCAGAAATAAAATCCATAATGCCACTCTGGCCTCAGTGGTGTAGGCTAGAACAGAGCTGACTGAGACCAGTTGAAACAGCATTATCTGTGGAGCGTTTAGCTGGACTGGCAGTCTGGTGTTTGTCCAGATCTAGCAGGATAACAGTTCTGATGTGTGAAAGCACCAATTTTCAAAGCACCTCATCGTTATAGGTGATGAGGCAACTGGTGCATAGTGGTTCCGGCGCTTCACCACAGACCTCTTAGATACTGGGACACTAATGGAAGATCAGATGAATGCTGGGACTGATGTCTAGTGTAATGAAAAGATTGAATATGACCTCGAGGCCAATTGCATACACTTTAATTATTAATTTACTGGTCTGGGGCCTCAGCCTCTTTTTCTTTTCTTTTTGTTTTCTTTCCCGATTGATGCTTGTGAACTTTTCTTAGATTTAAGTAGCATCTTTGTGGGATTTGAACTAAACCATTTTGTATTGGGTACTTTTAACCTAACAATCTAGTTTCAATATTTCTTTAAACCTTTGGATGTTTTCCTGCTTTCTTCTTTTTTGAATGGCACTTGAACTAATATCCTGTAACTTTTGCCATCTGATAACAAGCTTTAACGTTCATCATTTCTTTATTCTGAGGGTTTTTCCTTGAGTCGTTGTGTGAGCCTGTGCTGGACTGGTAACATGTCCAGGTGTAGCCTCGCCTCTCAGTCAATAACTACTGGAGGGAGGTGTCACTGAAGAGGAATAAACAGGGATGGATGGATGGGTGAATGGGTGGACTTCTTTGTGGTCATTCCATTGATTGATGGTGCTCCCAGAATTAAGCTTTTTGTGGTCTACCTCACTAACTTCTTTCTGATTGTGCAAAACATATGAAAAAATAAGTAAAAATGAAGCACCATATTTTCCGGACTATGAGCCGCTACTTTTTTCCCACGCTTTGAACCGTGCGGCTTATAATGAGGTCCGGCTTTACTGAAGATTTTCCTTCACCTGCCAGGGGGCGCTTTAGCAGAAAGTGAAACAGGCGGAAGTTAAAAGTGGAAATCGAAGAAAGTGCTCATTTTAGTTTAGCACATGCAAGCAGCCGGCACGACGAAGAATTTTTTTCAAATCCATACCCCCTCATCATGGTAACTACACGTATGAGTTCACATGTTGCCACATTTAAGTTGAAGGCCATCGATCTGGCAGTGAAGGAGGGAAACAGTGCTGCCCCATGTAAGCTTGGCATGAATGAATCCATGGTTCGGCGCCGGAGACGGCAGCGGGAAGAACTCATTCAAGCCAGCTTCACCCGGGGATGATGACAGCAACACGGACAGCGACACTGACATCGCCACAGAAAAGGTATGTGACGAAGCTCTTCTGAGGCTGTTCAACTCCGACACTGAAGAAGATGACTTTAATGGCTTTAGTGCGCAAGAGGAAGATGAGAGCGAATTACTTTTTCTGGTAGGCAAGTGTGTTTTATTTACTAACCAGGCATGTTTTGTGTGCAGTTTTTATTTTCTAATCATCCAGGGCTTATTAATGCTGTGTCAGCGCTGTTCTCTTCTTCTAAACATGCAAATTACCGGTAATAACGTGTCAGTGCTGTTTTTATTTCATAACCATGCAGAAATATGAATGCTATCAGTGCTGTTTTCTTTTCTAAACTTGCAGGCACGTTCACCCGTGTTTAAAATTCGTTTTGTTGAATTAAAACAACAACGAAAAACCTCCGTGTAGCGTCTTTCTGTCTAATTATCTATGTTATGGCCATACATGCGCTGTGCGCCGGAGACCTGCATGTGGCTGCTGCGCCGCGGCTTGTATGCGAGTGTGGCGTGTGTGTAGAAAAACTTTTTTTGTTGGTGCGGCCTATATTGAGGTGTGCTCTATAGTCCGGAAATTACGGTAACATAAATTAAATAATTAAATTATCCATAAGTAAACTAATTTTACCAACCAATAAACAAAAGGATCCTCCACACCCAGTTATAACACCACCACAGAGTCAAGTGTTACGCAGTAGTGTTCATTAGTAATGTGAATACGACATGCAAAAGAATGAAAACAAAAGTGCAAGCATGTTAAAACATGTGAGTATAAAGATGAAAAGCGTTTTAAAAAGTAATACAGGTTAGTCTAGCCCGCTTTGATCTAGAACAAGGACAGAAGAGGACACATACTGTAAAAGCTGGCCATTACATAGTTTTGGCAGCGATCACCAGTAAATTCATTTGGACACCTGAGTAGTAAAGACAAGAAACAGACAAGAAGAGAGGGAGTTAGTTTTTACCAGAGCTGTGTAAAACCCACAACAGTCATCACTGGTGTTAGGACGATGGTTCATGGCCAAATAGAATTAGTGAATCTGTGAGTCTGAGTCCTGGTCTCAGACCTTCATATTCAGTTCAGTTTGAGATGAAGTTGTCAGATAATAACTTATTCTCTCCATTAAGCTACTTTTAAATAGTCTCTTCACAACAGACTGAAATTTGCATGTACTTGAGTTACCATTGAGGAAAAGCCACTAACATACAGGCTTCAGATCCAGGTTCCAGGGTGGTTAGGGTGAGTAGAAAGTAGTAGGCTGTCAGGTCTTCAGTGTGATGGCTTACAGGATACCACAGCATGAATGGGATGATGAGATGAGATGTGAAGTACATGCAAAATTCAGTGCAATGCGTTGCATAAAAGAGTATAAACTCCTAAGTTCCTGCTCCAATTAGCAGCACTTGGTCTTCAGAGGAGTTGATATAGCATCTGATTCCATTCCAGGGAAATATGGATTCCTCCATTTTTATTTTTTTAAAACGTGACAGGGGTGCAACACCAGTTATGACATGTGGGACTGAATACAGTTATGTTCACATACGTTTTGGGTCTGAGACTTTCTTAAGCACAGCTTGTTCACATCGGTGCCCAGTGAATCCCGCCAAGCACCTGGTTGGTGGATAAGAGGGAAAGGAGAAAAACAGCACTTATACATGACAAGAACAGTTGTTGACGAACAGCACGCACACACACGCACACACACACACACACACACACACACACACACACACACACACACACACACACACACACACACACACACACACACACACACACACACAAACATACACACATGCGGCATCCAAGATCCAACAAAGCAGGTTTTACAATTGTAGTATTCTGTTACAGAAGCTTGAGGTTTCTGGGATAGTAAAACGTTCTAGGCTGGTTTTAGTCATATGCATCTATCAGATTACAGTTAGTTCAGTTACACTATAATACAACAGTCCAGGTAATAGTGAGATGTAATTCCCCAAGCAGCTGCTTCTAAACAATACAATGGCTCCCACACAATAGAGGTTACCGACTCATCAGGGGTAGGGAGGAGGGGTATTCATTGGTAGTTTCTGCTTGTTAAATAACAACAGACAGCTACTATTTATAAGCTTGACTCTGCCATATTCCGGTCAGAATTGACAAAGCTCCTCGGATGAGAAGTGAAACATCTTCAAGAAACCAGAGAAGTCCAGTTGCCTTCATTTGAAACCCTTTTGGATTACCATGATGTGGATGACTTAGAACCTTCAGCAGCACACTGGTTGGAATGGCAACAAAAAGCATTTCTAACAGAACTGTGAAAATTATTTTCAAAAGATTGGTTTCTTTAGGAGGTTAGCAAGTGAAGATCCTGTTATCTCTAAAGACCACATGACCATATGGCTCAGGTATGAGAGAACTATTAGATCTAACCCTTCCCATGGTCAAGAGCTATGAGCGATGACAAAAAAAACAATTTCTCTCCTTCAAAGTGTGGTTGAGCTAAGAATAGAGCTGCTGCTCCTCTATCCGAAAACAAGTCAGCTTTGATGGTTTGGGAGTTAAGTAAGGATGCCCTCCATGTGAGCATGTCCACTGGGATGAGGTCATGCTTGGGGAATTGCATCTCACAATTACCTGGTCCCTCTCCGGAACATCTCAAAGAGGTAGGTGAGGAGAGGGATCCTAGAAGGTTGCTCAGCAACATGAAATCAAAACCTAGGAATATGAGAGCTCTACACAGTAGATGTGTTCCAATTCTGATGCTGCATACTTCTAAGGAAGCTCCAGTACTTCAAAGACCACAATCACACCTGACTAAAAAAATATGACACACTGATTTTTTGGGAAAAGTCACAAGGCCTCTCAAGATCACTGCTCATATACTGAAGACAGCAGGAGAACTCATCTGAAATGCTGAAATTGCTTGAATTGCCTGCTGTGAGCCCAGAAATATCACAGTCTAAGACAAGTCTTCTCAGTAGAATATAGGATCATTTCATTCTGGATTGGGTTGGTCATTCAATTGACTCCATCATTGCCTGGAATTTCAGGTTAATAAAGTGTCGATTGTACGCCTCTTATTGGGTGTTTTGATCAAGTTACAAAGCATAAGCTGAGATTCCCAGAGGTCTCTCTGCTCAGTGACCCTCTATTGCTCACCAAGAAGGACTCCCAGGTGTTTTCGTGCCAGCTGTGAGATCACTTCAGATCTTGGTCAACCCTGAGAAATACTACATGCGTTGGAAAAACCTTCCATGAAAGGCATTCATGAGCCATCCATACCAGATGTGCAAACCACCTCTACTGGCTTCTCTCAATGCAGAGAAGCAGCAACTCTATTCCTACAGGTGAGTGCAGCTCCTCTGTGGCTCATTTCAGCAGCTTCCAGTTGCAATCTCATCACACATCTCATGATCATATGCACCAGAACAAATGGAGAAGTGGAAGCCTTGTAGCAGCAGATCTGTACAGTGCTGACCTAATATCACCGACAATCTCCCACTATTTCAGCTCATGAACATGACTCTGACACTTGTCCACCAGGGCCAGAGGTTCACACCCAGCACAGACTTGATGATCTGCAAATTTCCAGATGAAGACTGTTGTCCCAGCCTAGGACGTGCACCCGCTACTTCACACTTAGCTACAAATGTTTGGGATCCCACCTTGATGAGATCACATGAAGATCAGGTCATCTACAAAATATAGTGAGGCCATCACTGTCCCATCAGTTGTCCACATTTGACCCGTTCCCTGGGGGAGCAGTGAGCTGCAGACACAGCTGCGCTCAGGAACCATTTGGTGGTTTAACCCTCAAATCCAACCCCATAAAGCTGAGTGTCAAACACGGAGTCTTGGTATGACCCGACTGGGATAATTGAAAGCAGAGAACTTCTGCCTTTTGGTTGCACCTATGATTTATATTTAGAAAAGTTTTAAACAAACTCTGTGACAAAGGATGACCCAAAAAAGTTTGGCTTATTATTGGGAATGAGAACCAAACTGTCACACTGATAGTAGCAGACTAAATAACCCTTAATTAGAGGCCAAAGCCCCCATACTTTTCCACGTGACCTCACAAGTTGTAAAGCCCATGAAAACATGTTGGGCAGACTCCAAACTGCACTCTCAAATACCCAACAAGGGGTATTGTAACTGTGTCCACAAAGTATTCATTAAAACTATTAGCCTCAATGTTCATCTCTTCACACATTTATCAACAAAGTTTGAAACATTCTCCATCATCTAAAATAGGTTTTCTCTCATTTGATAACTTATTTTATGGCAAATGTCTTTCTGCTGAGTCGAGAGCATGACTTTCCTTTAGAAGGCCGTCTCTTCTCTTTCAGATATGGGTGAACAGCATCAGCATGATCTGGCTCTGCTGCTCTGGACTGTGTGCACTTACAGGTTGATTATCTGCAAACAATTAGCCTGGGTGGTGCTTTCTCCCTAGTTCAAGCAGGATCCATCTGAAAACATCTGCAGTGCCAGCAGTCTGTTCCTGGGATTGAGGCATTAAGCTCACCTTAGCACGGTGTTCAGCACAAGCATCGGATCCTGCTAAGGGTTGAATTGAGTTGGTGCCTTGAGTTGGTGGACTTTTTGCTGATAACTAAGTTTTTGTTGTAATTGTTGCTCATATGATATGTAAATGAGACGTCTAACAGACACGGCCAGCAAACTCAACCAACCACACGTGTAAGCCGTCGGTCACATTGCACGCTACACATCCCACTGTCTTAAAGTTGTACATCAGTCAGGAACAAAATTGTGATCAGGTGAGAAAAAGGACGTTTGTTTACATTTAATCTAGCTTATTCCCACCTGTTTGTCCTTCACCAACGACACAGCAGTTGGAGGAAATGAGACATGATCGTTCAGACTGAGGTCGCTGTAATAAAAACATCAAATATTGATCTAATTTAGGACTACAAATGAAACTGAGCTGGGTCTGATTTTGATAAATTAGGTTTGTGCTTTTCAGACTGTCATAAAAAATCTGATTTGTGTCATTTTGGCCTGCAGTGTGACTGTAGCCTACGTGCCAGGGATGCAGGCACATGTGGAAATGGTTGAGTGCATGAATACAAATAAGTGGTAGTTTATGTGCTTAGGTGTGAAGTGGTAATCATTTCTACCCAACTGGTATGAAACATCAACCGCTGGGTATAAAAGGACAGCTGCTTGGTGCAAAGTTAGGCCAGTATCCTTTTACCAACCCTAACGCCATTGAAATGTCTTCATTCAAAAATGTTGGACATCTATTTTTTGTGCAAAAATGAAGAAGTGGCAGTAACTGGCTACATTTACTTGAGTAACTTTTAAAGGTGTGTATCACTTGTTTAAGCAATACATTTGCAGTTGTCTATAGTAGGAATGAATGCCTTGTAAGATGGGGAAAAAAAGCTCCAGTGCATCATTTTTAGGAACAAAAAGAGGGCCACATCAGGGCTGAGCTTCAGAGGACAAGATTTGGAGTCTTATTTCCTGATATTTGAACCTCTCGCCTCAGACTGAATAACAACAACGCAACTCTGTCACAGACCTGCAACACTGATGTCTTGGCTCCACAAATAACACAAGCCTGGAGGAGTTCTGCTGTGAAGAGGAGTTGCTAATGCTAACAGTTAGCCTCTACTAGCTGAGACAGTCGTTTCCTGGACGTTAAACCAACAACAGACTTCCCTGTCATAAATCAACACGGGTGAGTCCATGAATGTTTAGTGACAGTGTGACATAGATCGGTCAAGCTTTTCTAGTCCTAGAGTTTCATTGTCTATTTTTTATCAACAGCTAATGCAGGAGATAGGTGTAGGAGACTATTCTCATGTTCAGCCTGCATGAAAAACTCAGACTGACCCATTATAATCAGAAATCTGTTTTAAAAAATGTTTTTTCAGTTAACCACACCTTTAAAAAATGGTTCTTCTATAAATAGTTTTTACTGCTTTAAATTTTTACTGTAGTAATAATATTATGGAGAATCACAACTTTCTACCAAATATTTTGCTACTCCTACTTGAGGGTTTTTAATTACTACTTTTTACTTTTACTTGAGTAAAACTGTATCATAGTATCTTTGGATACTCTAACCTTATGTGAAAAATTGTCATCTGACGCAACTTTTCACAGAAGCACTTTTAACAAAACAATACATTTTCAATAAATGTTTTCTACACTTGACCCCAGGCATGTCCATGTGTGGTCCTGGGTGACTTTTGGGATCATCGAGGTGATTTTGTGTGGCTCCTAATTGCATTTCTAGATTGACGAATTTTGTCGCTCCAGCAGAAGTGACACTTTCTGATAATTTAGTCTTCAGATTTTTCTAGAATGCTGGCTTTGACCTATTTTGAGATGTACTAATAAAAGTATGACCATTACGTTTTTTTTTATCCCTTAGCATTCCAGCGTCCCGCCCGTGGGACAAAACCCCATTGCGTTCATTAAACCTGGAAATTTAAGGGGTTAAAGCCACATTTTGTAGCCCTCAAGCACTACTAACTTAACAATTTTGGTCTTCAAAAGTTTGGACACCCCTGTCTCAAAACCAAAGGTACATTTTTGCTAATTGAACTGACTATTAGTATTGCAAACTGTTAGATTAGGTCATGAAAACATCTTATTGAAATAATAAATCCACACATACACACCTGCATAGAAACTTTGTACTTCCAGGTGTGATTTCAAGTGTGAAGCACTCTCCTCCATTAACACAAAAGTTCTTCTGGCTGTCACTGCAACGCATGATATGACTGGAGGTTCTCGATGTCGTGGAGGTGCTGGTGGTAGCTGCAAAGGGAAACCATAATTATTGAAAACAAAGAAATAAGAAATTTGTGTCAACAAAACAGTTTGTCAGAGTAAACGTTGATTCATTCATAAGTCGTTCTCAAGAGCATGTCCCCACAAGGATTCTGGTCACCTGTTTTCAAAAAACTATGTTTTCATTGTTTATCTATGTCTTGAACATGTAACCAGATATTTTCCACATGTATATTGTAGTCACCCCAAAGCCTTTACTCTTGTGTTAATGGCATTCAGCCTCACCACTACAGAGGAAAAGCTGCAGGGCCAAACTTATCTGTTTAAACCAGGGGTGTCAAACATGCTGCCCGCGGGCCAGATCCGGCCCGCAAGCGGGTTAAATCCGGCCCGCGAGATGGTTGTGTAAACTTTATTTTCATACTTTACAATGTGGAGTGAAAATAAACTTATCAGTGTGAGCAAGTTTTCTCTGTAATGAGTATAAATAAAACAAAGCTGCGCTCTAGGCTCACACAAGAACTTGAATCACGTCCTGAAGTTGGTCGCCACTCAGGATGTGACTTCTGATATTGATGTGCTGGTGAAAGCTAAAAGATGTTAAGTAAAATGAGTCAAATATACTTTAAGTATAGCATGAAATTGATCTTGCCATGTGATCTGGAAGCTCTTTGAATCACTAAGGAATGTTTTTTTATTTGTTGATTTTTTTTTTTTTCAAATTTTCAAGTACACTTCAGGTGTTGTACTTGTACTATTTTGGATACACTGTCCTCGGGCTCCAGTCTTGTTTTATATTGATTGTATTAAAACAAAGAAAACGATCTGAAGTTTTTTTTTAATTTACCGGTCCGGCCCACTTTGGACTGGATTTCCCTCAATGTGGCCCCTGAGCTAAAATGAGTTTGACACCCCTGGTTTAAACCATCCTTACACCTCACTGTGTGGGTGACTATTCAGACTTTCCTGAGATTTATTGTAAAAAAAAAGCATGTCAACAACACAGAAATAATCAATCAAACAAACACGTCTCCATGCAGTTGTAATAGTTTTATATTTGAGTATGTATTTGTTGTATTTCACTCTGACTTGTACAGGCGATCTCATAGACACACATGGTCTCATTCCTAAGAGCTTTAAGGGAATATCCAATAATGTAAACACGTGTAACTGATACAGTACATACTCCAGCTGAAAATGCCACACAAAACCGGACAGATCACTAAAAACTGGTATAAGTTTCCAGTTTTGCTGGTTTTATAATGTAGCTCAGATGGATGTGGTTTCAGGGCCAATGGATGCTGATTCTAAGACACACCAGAGAGGGAAAATCCCGATTTACTAGTTCAGTTTGTACAACAGGGAAGGTAATGTTAATAATCACCTAAGTCTTAGGAAACATGTGTGGCCTTTTCATGTCAACTTATTATAATGTCATCACTCTGAGTCATACAGTAACCACTCTGCCACCATCATTAGCTAAAGCACTCACAGGATAATAAATCACACAGGGATGTGACCACAACAGGAACATCATAGCCACTGGCAGACAGACAGTATTACTGGCTTGTTTTGCTCAGGCACCATAGAGAAGGAGGGAGCATCAATTAGCTACCAGCAGACTCTGACCTTGAAATGGAGCACAGGCAGAAAACAGGAAGTCTCTATATCAGAGCCCCGGCTTTCACTTTGTGTCATGCATCATTTATTGATTTTCACTTATTCATCAGACTGGAAATGTTCATCCACACATTTCAGGATATTGTGCCTTACTCACAGTTGTGCAACGTACATTCAGCAATTACAGACAGATTGTTGTTTAAGGCATACATACATGTGTTAAACACACACACACACACACACACACACACACACACACACACACACACACATACAAAGCAGTGTAGCAAAGTATATTTAAAAGATCTCTTGGAGGGTACAACACACAGCTAATGAAGTTTGAGTAAGAAGCTGTAGTTTAGGCATCAAGGCAGGATTGAAAAGTACTTTACAAATGTAGCTTCATAGAAATGTTGTTGGGTATTTTAATTTATACTATTGTTGTTATATTACCTTAAAGGAAGTCAGAACACACACAGAGGGATTAGATTCTTAATTTGGTAAATTGTAACAAACCATAACATACGTTACAAAGCTTACTTTGTAAAGGGTGAGGGGAGGCACAGAGACACACTGGAGTCAGAAGCCATTTTCCTCTCACAAAGGAGCCGAAGCTCGTGGAGTCAATTTATTGAATACATAAACCACACCCACAATTTATGAACCACCCTTCTTTGCCTTAGGAAGTATACAAGAGAAGTTTCTAGAGTTGAGCTAATGGAAAAACACCTTGGTCTTAGAATGCACAGGACAAAGAAATTCTTCAGATACTAGATCTACAAGTTTCTTGGTCTGGCAGAAACTCCCTGGTTTAGCTGGTTTGGACTTTTCCTAAAAGTGAGGTCACTTCACAATCAAAGATGAACAATATAAAAATACCTAACAAATGTCTTAATATATTACAATTATTTTTATTATCATCATCATCATCATCATCATCATCATCATTATTATTATTATTATTATTATTATTATTATTATTATTATTATTATTATTATTATTATTGTGTAGTCTGGTCAATACATTGAGCTGAAGGTTGTATCCTAGAGCCAGAAGCCTTTAATGATACAAGTGAGATGGATCAACACTCTCCTGTGTTTGCAGGCCCAGTGGCTGCTGCTGAGAAGATGTTACGGGGAGTTAGTGGACAAAAGACAACCAAGTGGTCCAATACCCATCCTTTCAACTGGTCGACAAAAGTCAACATTGCCTAAGAGTTGTGGATTCAGTCACAGGAACCTGTGAAAGTTTTCATCAAACAGCATTGCTGAGGCCAGTCAGTCTTTGCTCTGTGTCCAAACTCACAGTTCAAAGACACAACAAAGTTACACCGTGCTTGTTTCTGCCAGCTGTCACTGAAACAATCAAAAGAGTCAAGAAGTCATTTAAACCAATAGCACAGCTGAACTGGTGCTTTTGAAGTTTAACAAAAGTGAAACAAAAAATGTTGTTGCAAAAGGTTAATGTTCTGTATTTATATAGCGCCTTCTAAGGTTCTACAACCCTCATTCACCCGTTCACACACACACATTCACACGCTGGTTGTTATATGCTACGATGTAGTCACACAGCTGCAGTGGGGTGCGCTGACGTCACCGGTCCCTCTGACCACCACCAGCAGCCAAGGTGGGTTAAGTGTCTTGTCCATGGACACAACGACTGGTTGTTGATCCCACCTGTGATAAATGTAAATCTGCCCCTGGATCTGCCCCTGGATTAGCCTGGCAAACCAGACAAAATAAATAAATCATTTGGTCTAGTTCACTAGGCTACTCCTGGATCGCTACCACATATGTTGTACAGGTCCTGCCCTGCCCTTTCTAAATTTTGGGCATCTTACTTCCAATACATCTCAGAAATTCTTAACCCTCCCACTGTCCTAATGGGTAACCCGGCGAGGAAAGGTGACCATTGAGCAGGGATGATGGTTTATCTCTTGAGGTCCATGTGGCAGGGGTGTGGTGGTGCTCACTCCTCACCCCTGCCACATGGACCTCAAGGGATAAACCATCAATCCTGCTCAATGGTCAACTTTCCTCACGGGGTCACACCCGATAGGACAGTGGGAGGGTTAATCATCAAATCGCTCCAAACCCTTTGACTGCTGTTTTTGGCTCCACTTCAGACAATATTTTAGCAAAAACAAAAAGCAAGGCTGGCCTTTTCCTTTTTGGTGGCTTGCTGGGTACTTTGTTAAAATGGAAGGACTCCGCCCCTCCATCTTGCTCACACTGGATCAGGGATGATGAACGTTTTAATTCTGGAGAAAAAAATGTTTCACAAAATTGGGAGCAGTAAATGGATTTAACAACTTTGGGAAGCTCACGACAGCATTTTCTGAGTCGCTGTTTTGTTTTGTTAATGAATTAATCAAGTCATTTCACATTTATTTAATTTTTATCCTTTTGTGTTTTAGTATGTATATAAGAGATATTCCTGTTAAATCAACTCTTTTATTGACCTCTGCTGGCAAGTGTTGCATTATGAGCGGGACGAACAAAAGTGTTACGGTACAACTGTACCTTTCTTGTGACACCACTGAAACATTTGAGAGAAATATAATGTCTTAGGTGTGTTCTTGCTGTGTCTTTCTAAATCCATGCTTTCGTTCTTTTTTAAACACAGAAACAGTTTTGTTTACCTGTTTGTAGCTACAGTTTCGCCGACAGCTGCCGGCTTCTTCAGGCTGATGCTGATGGTGGCGCGTCACTTCCTTCTCCGTTTATCTGCGGGCAGCAGAGGACGTTGTCGCCCTCTACTGCCCGCTTTCCCCTCTCCGACGATGCAGTCCCATGCGTGGTCCAGCGTGTAAACTCCGTCGTCCCTGTTCATGGTCCCACATCCACGTCCCCTTATCTCGATTGCTTCCTTGATCCATCTTTTGTATTTTTGTTGTTCGGTGGTTATGATCCGTGTGCTGTCCCAGTCCATTATATGGTTTTCTCTTAAGCAATGATCTGTTACGGCTGACTTTTTTTATTGTACTTTCTGCTTCTTCTTTTGCTGCTCTTGTGTGTTTACGATTTGCCTCTTTCTCGCACTCCTTTCTGTGTTCTATTGTCCGTGTATTGAGTTGGCGTCCGGTTTCTCCTATGTATGTTTTCTTGCATATTTTGCATGGGATTTCGTAAATGACTCCACATTTTTGTCCAGCTGATATTTTGTCTTTTGGGTGTACTAATCTGTTTCTAACTGTTGTGTATGGCTTTGTTGGTGTGTTTATGTTGTGTTTTTTCATTGTTGCTCTTATTTTTTCCGTTATGCCTCTGATGTATGGTAGGGTTTAAAGACCTGCGCATACCCGACATGGGCATAAACAAAGGAAAACAACAAACAAAAACAGAAAGCAAAGAACAACCCAAAAAAAGAACCAGAAACCCAGAAAGACAAGAACCAAAACCAGTGA